TTATTAATATTATTGATGTTGTTGAAAGCTTGAATTGCTGCTTGCTTTTTAGCTTCGTTTTTCTTTTTTCCTTCCCCAGTTCCATAAATCTTTCCATTAACTAGAACTTCATAAACAAACATAGTATTATCATGAATATGTAACCCGCTATTTTTCCATTTATATATGGGTTCTTCAAGTCCCTTTTTTTAATATTTGCAAATCGAGTTTAACTATATGCTCTAGCTCCGAAGGAATCTCATTATTGTCTTCAGTATCCTTTAAAATTTCAGCCCATTTATCGAGAAAAGGTGTTAAGAATGGTTTCATATAATCTCTAACTTTATCAAAATCGCAATTACAATCTAAATATATTGCACCAATATATGCTTTAAAAGTTTCACCGTGAATATTATCATTAATATGTCTATCCATTTCATTTCCTTTATCTAATATTAAATGTTTTTCTAATTTCAATTTTTTAAAAAATCCGGCCAAAGTTATTTTATCTAAAATTTTTTGCTTTAAATATACAAGTGTGTATATTTTACATCTTGGAATGCAACAAAAAAGATAATAAGATACTATATTATCGATTATAGAGCCTCCTAGAAAAGCCAATCTTTCATTGTTGTTTTCATTGTTGGAATGATTTGTTAAAGATTTCATTCGGAAATGTTTATTTTTAAATTTCCATTCTTTAACAGTATTATTTTTAGGTAAAACTTTAAAAAAGATGTATATGATAATAATTAAAATTATTAAAATTAATATTGTGCTAATATAATGGGCATAAAAATAACGGATAGTTTTTGTTGCTTCATATTTAACAAATGCCCAAAGTAATTTATTAACCTCTCCTTCTATATGATCAGCAATTTTTCTAATCATTTCGAAATTTTGTAACGGTAAAAGGTGTGTACATGAAAGTAATACTACAGGATTCACTATTTATTTATTTATTTATCTACCTAATTGGTTTGTACTCAAAACGTTTGCTCTCACAAATACTTTAATAGAAGAAATGATAGGACATGTGCATTTTAGTACAGTACTTAAATTTCAATGTTGATCGTGATGCGCTATTATCACAATGTTAGAATTAGAGTTGCAGGTGAAACTAATTAATCTATAACTCTAGTTTTACCATCGGTGCACCAGTTTCACCAGTTTCACCTGGTGCACCATCGGTGCACCATTGAAGATTAGTTTCACCTGCAACTCTAGTTAGAATTAAGGGTGAAGATTTTAAGTGTAGTTATTTTAGTTTTGTTCCCGCTTACAATATATTATTTTTTTTTTCTTCCGCTGCTTGCAAATATATATGCCGGTAGCAAGCGGTATCAAGTCATCATTATTCCTAGTAAAAATTGTCTCCTATAATTTAAATTTTTTTTTTTCACGCGTATTATTTTTCTTCACTTGATTTCATTAAATTAATTTAACTTTTACTCGCATTTAAATCATAACATTTTCATTCAAGTTATTATAAATGAAACATTTCTTTTAAATAGACGCGAATTAAAAAATTTATAATTAGTTTTATTATTATTAATTTTTTTAATATTCAAGCTTAGCTCAACTTAAGAAACAATCAAAGAGATGTATTATAATTATGATAAAACTCTTCCGTCCCTAATGTTTCTATAAATCCTGCTAGATAATTCTCTATTCTTTTTTGTTACGAAATATGTTGCATCCCCTTTTCTACCTGCTCTAGCAGTTCTACCCACTCTATGTAAAAAATTTACAACCGTGGTTGGAAAGTCATAAAGAATTACATGATTCACAAAAGTTGTATCAATTCCTCTAGAAGCAAGATCTGTACAAACTAAAATTTTTGCATTAGGTTCCTGGTTACGAAATGCTTCAAGTTTTTTGTTACGTTCATTTATATTTCCAAATAGTCCAATTACAGGAAGTTTTTTCGTTTTTAAAAAAGCTTCTAATGCATGAGCACTCACACGAGTATTACAAAATATCATTGTGCTAAGCTCATTCGTATTATGTTTTTTTAAAACTTCTAAAATTGCTGCACTCTTGTTATAATTATAATCTTTCATATCAATGAAATTATGTTTAAGATTAGGTAATACTTTATGAAGTGAATGACTAGTTATGCTTTTAATATTAGGAAATTCTTGATTAAGCATTTCATTCACTGTTTTAGGTAATGTTGCAGATACAATAATGATTTGGTATGGTCTTTTTTGATTTTTTCCAGAATTTTTCATATTGGTAACAATCTTTTGAACTTCTTCTCCAAATCCTTTACCAAACATCGTATCTGCTTCGTCAATAACAAGGTATTTTGTATCTGCCATACTAATATATCCCTGTTCAACGTATTCTAAAAGTCCTGCTGGCGTTGCAATTACAATGTCAACCGGCATCTCTAGAGTTTTCTTGATAAATCTACGTTCCTTATTAGATGTTATTGCAATTGCTCGAAATTTTGCATAATGAGACATAAGTTTTGCCACTGATAATATTTGATCAACAAGTTCCCTTGATGGTAAGAGGACAATGGCTCGAGGACGATTGAATCTCCTAGCCGTTGATTTTACTACTGTTTTAAGTTGTAATTCCTGTTCTAATTCCTTCTGAAATACATCAACGTATTGTTGTTTTTCTTCATCAATTGGGATCTTAAGCATTCCTGCATTAATATCTTCTCTTGTATAGGCTGTTGAATTTGCTTCTTCATCTTTTAATTTATTCACAATCGGTAGTAAATATGCCAATGTTTTTCCAGATCCTGTTTCTGCCGCACATAATATATGCTCATTGTCCGTTTTTAAAATTTCAGGAATTGTTAATGCTTGAATTTCTGTTGGTAAGAAAGGTTCAACATCTTTCAATGCACCCTGTCTCAATGCATTATATACTTCTTCACGTAATTTTAATGATTCAAATGTTAAGTCTGTTAAACAAATTTCTGATTTAGATGATTTAAATCTTTTCTTTAAATTTATTAGTTCCGTCGGTTGTTCGGTAAGCGTCGTTTCTTGTGTTCTGTTATTAAGTAAGATAAATGAAATATTTTGACATATTAAATTAGTATCGAATATGACAAACTTATTTCTATTAAAAATTTATGTTCAATTTGGAATAATGATAATGACCAAGGCTATAATGTGGCTTATCAAAATTCGAGGATTTTCGCACTGTTTGCAGTGTTTAAAATTTGATGTTCTCAGTGTTCTCTGAAAACACTATACAATTTTTGAGAACATTAAAAAAAATAATAATAATAATTTTCTTTATTTTCGTCTGAATAGTATAGCAAGAAATTGTATGTGATGAATTGAGATACGAATTGAGATATTTCGTGGTTTAATGATCAGATTTAAAGATTTTTATACCATTCGATTCCTTTATGTGAGAGGGATAGAATGGTATAAGCATCTCTCAAAACAGATCACTGGATCACGATTCCATGTCTACCTTATGTTTGTTTGACGTTTAGTATCTTTAGTATCTGCAGATAGTTCTCGTGATTTGTTTAATTTGTTTGGTAATTTAACATCACTTTCAATTTTCATTAATCTGAATTTTGCAGGAATGAAACCACGCGTATTTTTTGATACTGGAGTCGGTTTATTCTTAAAATTGCTTTTAGTTTTTTTTTGGACAAGGCCCTGTCCTAGGGTGATTTTTTTTTGACTTGTAGCCCGTGTTTTTAACGGCCATTTCTTGAGAGCTGAAACAGAGTGGCATATGGGTGTTGCTGATAAGAATCGAACAAATAAAGAACGACGTAGTATCTTTAGAGTGCTAGTATTTAGGGACCTCTGCATTATGCGATACGATTGTCCCAAATTATGCGATCAATGAACATCCAGGATTTTTTGCAGATATAGTCGTGGCGCAAAAAATTCGGAGGTCCCGTGATTTCTACCCAATCTGATTGTAAGATCAATGTGTAGCATACAGATCAGAAAAAAATTATTTGATATAGAAATCATTAAAGCTTCAACACAAAAGTCGTGTATTAAGTGTATTAAAACAAATATCAATGTTTAGACAAAGATTAGGATAGCATCATCGTTAGATTCTGCCAATTTTTTGTATAATGATGAGATAAATTACCTCAACAATAATTATAAATTCTTCCATTTGAGAAAAAATCTCTACAACTCGTATATGTAAAATCATTTGTCTGCTTTCTCCTTCCCGATTGGATTAAAGAATATAATTAAACGTTATTATACAATCGTAAGAGTTTTAGGCTTATAGGATAATCATGTCATTACCATAGGACGTAACCAGTGACGTAAATCTTTCTGCGCCTATCAGCTAGGGTTTACTAATTTCCCATTGGTTGATCATTCTAAATAAATCATTTAAAATTTTTTTTCGTATTTAAATTTTTTTCGTGTTTTTTTTTTCGTATTTAATTTTTATTCGTTTTTTTCGTATTTAACAGGTAATGGTTTTTCTTAATTTCTTTTCGTATTTAACAGTTAATTTTTTTTCTCATATTAACAGTTAATTTTTTTTTCGTATTTCGTACAACTTAATCTAAGTCCCCGGGCTAAGAAAAAAATCTTCACTATAGTTTACTTCAACTATATCGAGTTGAAGTTTAATAATTTTGGAATTCAATAATTCTTCGCTATATCGAATCTTTAGAGTTTTCTATAACGAGAATGAGTTGTATTTAGTTTTTTTTTTTCGTATTTATTTTTTCATATTTAAATTTATTTTTTCGGTTTTTATTTTTTTTCAGTTTTAGTTTTTGAATATTACTAACCATAACCATCACCAGCGTAATTATATTATATAAAAAAAAAATAAAAAAAAAATCTCAAAATTGCACCCTAACCCTAAAAATATCTATGGGTGGTGACAATCACCACCGGTTATTTGTAGTAAAACTCTTTAAAGAATTAAATTATTTTTGCTAACAAAAAAAAAAGTACATGTAATGAACTTGAAATATCTTGGTATTTATATTCAAAGCGAAGCAAAAAGTTGCATTTTGTAATATACTGTAGTCTATCTGACATTTGACAAATAACGTTGTAGGAATTATATGATAATTCTCGTTATAGTTGTAGTAAACTTTTGTAGAATCAATTATATCTTGAAATTTTGAAAGCTAATAAGAAAAACTTTGAATTCTCAAGAAAATAAAGAAATTTTTGAACAAAATTTTTAAGTTTGCATGAGTCTCTAATTCTCAAGAAAATAAAAAAATTGTTGAACTTAAATTTTGAATATTCGAATAATTTAAATATTTGAGGTGCTTTTTGGGGGATTTACAAATAAGGGCCCGGAAAGTGAAAATAATTACAAATACGGGCCCAAATTAAAAATAATTACATATAAGGGCCTAATTTTTTAAAAATAATTATATAAGGGCCTAAATCTATTGATGGCTGAAGAAAACGGATCGCAGGCTTATAACGATAGCAAAATCGCGATTATAGGATTATCGATATATTGATTTTTAGACAAAAGGATAAATGAAGTGCTAGTTATAATCATTTTTGCGTTAAACTAACACAATTATTCATAAGATGAAGTTTCAACAGAATAGCTCAACGGACATCTTTTATATTAGTAAATGTCATGCCAATTCGCAATGTTTTACTTGACATCATAGTGGCTTGTTATAACAATAAGCATTTCATAAAAATCATTAAATTTTTCTTTTCTTATTTATAATTACTAATTTACAATCGATCGTTACATTTTTTATGCAATGCTTACGTTTCTTATACTAATAAAGATCAAGCCACAGGCGTGAATAGCGTCGCGGTTATTTTGGGTAGAGGTTGGATCCAATATTCGGTTACACAAAATTCATGGGTTTGTAATTGATAATTGATTCATGAATATTTGCGTGAATATCTGTTGTGAATATTCATGAGTACAATAATAGATGGGTATCTATTCAAAATCCAGAGATTCATTCAATGCTATTCGTAAACATCAAAACCCACGAATATTTACTAAATAGCCATAATGGATATTCAAAGGATCTAACCTCTAATTTTGGGCCCTTATATGTAATGTTTTTTAAAAATTATGCCCTTTTATGTAATTATTTTAAATTTGGGTCCGTATTTGTGATTATTTTCACTTTCTGGGCCCTTATTTAATTTCCCTTTTTTTTTCTCGATCTCGATATGATCTTCCCATAAAAATTTTACTGTCACGTGATCGTGCCAAAAACCTTTAAGTTCGTTTAGCAAAATTTTGAGAAATACTGTCGGTCATCACGTGACAGTAGAATTTTTCTGGGTAGTTTTCGATATGCTAAAGGTAGCGTGATTTACTTTATCCAATTGCGCGACGTAGTTGCGCTTAAACCAGGAACGTAGCATATAAGTTTTCTAATAGTTTTATTTAAAAAAAAAATTTATATACAACAAAATGTTTGTTTCTATTTTTTTTTTGATAGAAAAATGGTTATTTCACCCAAAGAGTTGCCAAATAGTTGATCACTATATTATACAATATTATATAAATCAAAATTAAATTGCTTATGTTTATTTATATATTAGTTTATTTATCGGAAAAATTAATTTTTATGTACATAGCTTAAAAACTTTCGGAAACTATTAATCGAATTGATGGAACTTTTTTTTGAAAACTTGTCTAGTGATACAAACTTTACATTTGTGAATTTGACAAATTTGCCCCTAAATTGTCTCCAGCTTGCTTAATTAAATGAAGCTCTTAAGCTATATTTATTTAAAGAATCATGAAAACATGAGCACCCAATGTTAAAATTTGGATTATACGAAAGGTTTCGATTATATCCTATTGACTTTTATTTATTAATTAATGTTTATTTTTCCTTTGGCTAGCATAGATTTTCAAGATTCAATTAAAAGACTCAATACTCAAAAGTTATATCTTTGGGATTATTATTGAAGAAAAAGTTACAAAAAATTTATTTAATTAATTAAGCTAAAATTTCGATAAGAAATTATGTTATCATTATTGTTACTGATTTAAAGTCACCAAGTTTATTTTCAAGCGGTATTGAAAATAATACGTGTCAATTGAAAATTGGCAAATTTTATGACTGACGCAAAACATCACAAACATAATTTACACATCTATATATACATGCACATATATTCATGTGACATAAATTTTATTATGTATTACATTTTATATATGTTCAACCATCATCCAATCATATTCCAGACAATTGCCATTCTAGTTGTCTGTAAACCGTAATTTGCATTGGTATTAGAGTGGACGGGGAAATGTGATATGCATATATAACATGTTTTTCATGAATCATATATGCATGCAGTACGTATGTACGTATATGGATTTCATTCAAATTCTTCGCCAAAAGAAGGCGTTAATATTTATTTTAATAAATCAAAACTATCCAAAATTAGTTTTGCCTTTAGCATTAGTACCTAAAATTAGTTTCGCCTTTTAGCAATTAGAATCCAAAATTAGTTTCGCCATTTAGTATTAGAATCTGAAATTAGTTTCACTCTTAGAAAAAATTATCAATATAATCATTAGAAGACCAAAGTTCTTTGGAATAGTTTTGCTCTTAGAAAAATTAACAATGTAAAATAGAAATTAATTTACTCTTTGTACAACAATATAAGTTTTAAAAATTGTTAGTTAATAAAGTTCAAAAAAAAATTTGCAAATTCGTTTTTTCAATTTTTGCTTTTCAAAAATAATTACACCCAACGACCATGTTAATGAAAACAAAGAGTACAAAAAAAACTTTTATGTTGAAGGTGAAAGTTTATATTATACCTTCTGCAAATGCATCATAAATTATAAAAATAAATTTTTACTTGATCAACATCTAAAAACCAAGAAGCATAAAACAAACGAACATAAAGCCAAAAGAAATCTACAAGAAACTAATAAACCAGCTCCTAACCTTAATACTTGTCGAGAAGAATGGGATGCAATTAATATAGATTTAATTCATGCTTTAACTCGATCTAATATTCCACTTGAGAAAGTCGATAAGCTTAAACTATTCTTTTTGAAGTACTGTAAGAATGGTAAGCTATTTGTTAATAAAGATTCGAATTTGTTGATTAAATATTAATTAATAATTATTTGTATGTATAATAGGTGGTTCTATCGTTGAATCTACTCAATTGCGTGGCAGATATTTGCCCATTGCATTTAATTCAGAAATCGAGAATTTAAAACAACTTTTAGTTAAAAAACGAATTTCTATTACTATCGACGAATCACCTGACGTTTGCGGAAGGGCTGCTGTAAATATATTATTTAGTTTTTATAATACAACCAAACTAGTTAAAACCAAGCATTTGGATATTGTTAATAGTTCTACTATCGTGCAATTAGTAATGAAAACTCTCCAATTTTATAATATTTCATTTGAAAATATTCTTTTCTTTATTTCAGACAATGCTTTTTATATGTTAAAAGCATTTAGAATTTTATTTCCTTTAATAACCCAAATGAAATATAATCATTGTTTGGTACATATATTAAATTTGGTGGGTGAAACATGGGTGGGTCATAAAAATTTCAAATTATTAGATGACGTAGTAATGCAAATTAAAGCCTCTTTCACGCATAATAATGCATTGCCAAAAAATTTTGGGAATAATTAAAGAACATTAAACTTTTTCTTTCTTTGAACTCCTCCCTCAATTTGGTATTTGCTGGCTGGGGAGAGCAAAAAAGTTAATATGCCCCGAATACTCACTCTGGACCCGTAAAAACAATCCGAGCCCAAAACCAAACGGCAGTTGCTCGAAATTTCTCCGTTCAGTGCGAACCAAATGAAAGCCGCAATGCAAACGAAGATGAATTTCCTTTT